ATTTATTTTTTTATTATGATTTAATTTAAGTTTAATAACGAAATAATTTATTTTTGGTTTAATAATATAACATTTTATAAAGATAATAATTAAGTATTTTGTTAGAACTCAATGATTATCCTAATTATATTTTAAATTTTTTATATTTAAAATGAGATATTTATCCTGTATTTGATTATGTTTATTTGTAGTTAGTTACACGAATTCAGATATGGAGCTTTAATAAGTTGTACTTACGCACAATCAACTTGCAATCTTGAGTTTTAAGTAATATGCATTAATAAACAGTACTTTACGCATAAAAAATGGGTTTTAAGAGATTTTGTCAAATGCTTTATAATATAGTATAGATAAACCATTTAAATAAGATTTTTTAATAAAATTTAAAAATTAAATTAGTTTACGATTTGTTAAAATGAGATCCTCTTTTGAGAATTAGTGCATCATATACTATTTTATATGATTTTTTTTCACCCATATTTATAATTTAATGTAGTTATTAATATATATTTGTTTCACAATGTAAACCTTTTTGATACATGTCAAAAGTTTCTATCTTTTAATTCGTATTCATATAAAACAAAGTTATTATAAAACACAAATATCTATACTACCTTATAAACCAATTTTATCAAAAGTCTTAAAAATAATTTTTAATGCACAAAATATATACATTTATGCACAAAGTCTTAAAAGTCTTAAAAATAACGCATAATGCATTAAGTACTGTTACTTTATGCATTTAGTCTTAAAATATTTTAACATACAATTAAAATTAACATATAGTACAAGTTACCAATGCACATTATTACATTTTCTTTTCATGTTCCCAAGATACTTTTAACACCATTCACTCATGTCTTCACCTCTTTGTCTTCTCCCCATCCCCCAAAGTGAGATTCAAATTGATATTCACCATGAGTTATTAAAAGTTCTCTCATTCATCTCTCATTCAATTGCTCTAGAACTCTCGGTTTCGCTCTTGATCTCTTGATTCTTTGCTCTTGGTGTAAATCGAACATATTTGTAGAGTCATTTACATATGTTGGATTTTAAATTGTCATACAATTTTTTTCATCGATAGACTGTAATTGGAATCATAACTCTTATTTATTCAAATTTTTTATATGTAAATATCAAGTGTAACTTATATAATCGTTAAATCTTCTCTATTAAAATTCATGTCTTCCATCACATTAAGTGGATGTGTGTTTAGAAGTATAAATTGTTGTCGATGTTATAAATCTTAAAGTTGTCAAATGATTAAGCCAAGCATGTCGAAAACACCAAATTTAATGATATAGCTACTACAGCAGGAAGCTTCCTTGTGGTGGGGTCTTTCTGTATTTCTGTTTCAGATCTGGTCTGCATGCACGAACCTTCATCAATGGACGAAAACAAGACCTATAAGCCTTGATCACCCCAATCACCCTTACCATTACTCCTATTAAAGTCTGATTAGAACTCTTGTTTCATTTGCGATCTGAAAGAAGAAGATGATGATGGGAGATCATTATATGACTCAGTTAGGATCCCTGATGGCTGGTTTTATGTTCGTATGGGCCATCTTCAAGCAATGGTTTCCCCAAGAACTCAGTGACCAAATCGAAAAATACTTCCATAAACTTGTTAGTTACATCTACCCTTATCTTCATATCACTTTCCATGAGTATCAAGGAGATGGGTTCCAGCGAAACAACGCGTATGTCACCATCGAACGCTATCTCAGCACCTACTCCTCCAATCGAGCCAAACGTCTTAAAGCAAGTGTTATCAAAGACTGTCAATCTATCGTCCTCAGTATGGACGATTATGARSARGTWACWGAYGAGTTCAAAGGCMTCAARATCTGGTGGACTTCCAGCAAAACYRTCMMMCAACARCGRYCYYTCTTTTCGTACCRTRAYGATGATGAAARRCGGTTYTACAAGCTCACTTGCCATCGCAAAAACAGAGACATCGTCACCAAAGTTTACTTGAAACATGTGATCGATGAAGGTGAAGCCATTGCCATAAAAACCAGGCAACGGAAGCTGTACACCAACAACAAGAGCGAAAGTGRTGGGTGGAKGAGMAAGAMRACGATGTGGAGTCACATCATATTCGAGCACCCTTCTACCTTTGATACACTTGCAATGGACCCAAAGAAGAAGAAGGATATCTTGAATGATCTTAAGACGTTTAGCAGGTCGAAAGAYTACTACAAGAAGGTGGGGAAGTCGTGGAAGCGAGGTTATCTTCTTTATGGTCCTCCAGGAACTGGGAAGTCTAGTATGATTGCTGCCATGGCTAACCTTATGGAGTATGATATTTATGATCTTGAACTAACCTCTGTCAAAGATAACACGGATTTAAGGAAGCTACTCATCGATACATCAAGTAAGTCCATAATTGTGATAGAGGATATCGACTGTTCACTTGATCTCACAGGTCAAAGAAAGAAGAAAGAGAAGGACAAGAAAGGGGAGGAGAAGGATCCTGTTGCCAAGAAGGCGAAGGAGGAAAAGGATAAGGATAATAAGGGAAGTGAAGTGACTTTATCTGGGCTTCTGAACTTCATTGATGGGCTATGGTCTGTTTGTGGTAGCGAGAGGCTGATCGTGTTCACGACCAACTACGTAGAAAAGCTTGATCCTGCTCTCATCAGAAGAGGAAGAATGGATAAGCATATCGAGCTGTCTTACTGTTGTTTTGAAGCTTTCAAAGTGCTTGCCAAGAACTATCTGGATCTTGAATCACATGAACTGTTTGCAACCATCGGTCGGTTGTTGGGGGAGACCAACATGACTCCAGCCGATGTTGCTGAGAATTTGATGCCAAAGTCAGATGAAGAGAATGCTGAGAGTTGCTTAAACAACTTGATCAAATCTTTGGAGGATGCAGGTGAAAAGAGTGAAGAAGATGGTGAAATGGTTCAAGACAGTGAGGCAAAAGTAGGTGATGAAGAAGAATGATGAAGATTTGAAGTAATCATCAAATTATAGCTTTCTGTATTTTCAATTGAAGCTTCTTTTGGGTCATCTTACCTGATTGTTATGTCCTTCAACACAAGACCTAATGAAATAAAACTTTAGCTCAATTATCCCAAGCAGCTTTTTAACGTTTAATGCGTTATTGATTCTGCAAACCATTGGAGATGATAACAAAAAAAGAATCTTATATAACCATAAGGTGATTCTTGATTGGTTTGTGCTTCGCTTCAAAGGTCAAAAGTACGAGGAGGTTTCAGGTTTAAATCCAAGGAGGAATAAAAATCCCCTTGTGGCCACGGAGGTTCAAATGCAGTGACTCCGGGCTATCTGCAAAGCAGATGGTCATCCTGAGATTAGTCAGTTCGCATAGCAAGTTGGATATCCAGGTTAATAAAAAAAAGAATGTTATACATATATATATATATATATGTGTGTGTGTGTGTGTGTGTACGCGCACACACACACACACGCACGTATCATTGAAAAAGTTCAAAAAAAATTATTTGAAAATGCATTTGTGAACGACGTTACACATTAGTTATATGTGTTTAATCAGATATCCATCTTCAAATGAATTTTTTCAAGGATTTACATGTGAATATTTGCTTAACCTTCCAATTTTACCTTCTTATGATATTTGAATCTCCCAACAATATATAATCTAAAAACTAGTTTTGACTTTTTAATGTATTTTAGGTTTTTCCGTTTTTGTAACTGTACTAATTCTTAACCAAATATATAGAGTTGACAAAACACTCGTATTCGACCACGAGTCCAATACCCGTAACCATCGGAATGAGGGATGGAGACAGGGATTCCACGAATTTGGAAACCGAGGACAGGGGTCGATAGAGACGTTGGAGATTGATCAATATTTGAATTTATTACAAAGGGATACATGCATGGGTATACATAGGTTAAAAGGTAACATGAACATCTAATATCATAAAATAGGGATGAGTATATATTCCACACAATGCAATAAGTAATTAGATATCGAGGGTGACACAGACATAAAATCCAACAATAAGCGGAGAACCCCGAAATATGATCCACAACATTGATTGATGACTAGAAGCTTCAAGAGGAATAATTCTGTATTATAATATGTCTTGGAAGTAATTTTTCTATCGAGCTAATGATGTGGCATAGCAGTGTGGAGCTTACGACGCAAATAAGCAATGTCATACCTGCGTTATTCACAATATATGAATAAGGAAGTATCACATACAGTACTAAGAAATACTTGTGAGATAATAAACATGGGAAGCCTCTAATACCATGCAAGGGATGCTTGTTTGGAACCATAAAACGATTTTCACATATGATACATTAGGAGGGGCAGATGTGTCAACAAATTCGGGTGGTTGATGCATGTACACGGTTTCGGCCAAGTTGCCATTTATAAAGGCATTTTTAACATCTAATTGGTGAATAGGTCATGATCACATTATCGCAAGACTAATGACTATTTGAACAGTTGTGGGATTCACAACTGGGCTAAAAGTTTCAACACAATCGAAATTGATCCGTTGTGTTTTGCAATTGACCACAAGGTGTTCCTTATAGCGTTGTAAGGATCTGTTGGAGTGGAACTTGTGACAATATAGCCACATACATTGGATGATATGAGCATCATGGGGATGCGGTACCGATTCCTAGGTATCAATTCCTAAGCATGCCAGTTGATGATCCCTAAGTGCATCATAAAGGGAATGGGAATGAGTCAGATGGGTGGCTTTTGAGGTCACATATGGCTTGAAACGGATCTATAAATTTTTTCAAATGCTTATATCATTTGACTATAAAAAACAAATACATAGATATTTTTCACAAAATTATCATTGATCTGTTGGTTAGTTTATTGTTTTTCATATGTGATGTCATATGTTCAAGTATTTTATTGCAATTTTTTTTACAAAAACAAATTAGATTATGAAAATCTATAACATAGTCCAAATAATCTATAACCCTCTAAAATTGTCTCCTTTGCTCTCCTTTTATTCTGCGCCGAATTATGATTGATTCCCTCAAGAAATGGCGGGTTATAAACCTTTAAACTCCCTAAAAACCGTCACTCCCACTAAATGATTCATCATTTGAAAAGTATGCCTAAGATACTGATTATTTGAAAAATATGCTTGTTGTAATGAATAATTGAGAAAATATGTTTAGCTATACGAATATTTGAAAACTATGTTTCATAGTGGTTAATGTGACTTTTGGCACGACTAAAGTCGCCCAAAAACTGGTATGGGCCACCTTTTCTTCTCATTTTGCTTTTATTCACGAATAAACATAATACGCAACTTAGATAGCTAATAAAATGACGTAATTATCGTTTTCAAATGAACACGTAGGCTGCGTTTGGTATATGGAACGAGACAGGATAAGACGAGACAAAACTCACTATCTCATGTTTGGCGCGACATGAAACAAGGACAAGAACTGGGATAAGATGAGAGAGCATGAGACAAAAGAGATTTTTTCTTGAATGTGATGGAAACTAAAATATTACTTATTGGGTCTGAATTTTAGTGTTAAATTGTACTCGTCTTGAAAGTTTATAATTGTAAAGTTAGCGTGTTTGACTTTGCTAGAATTGTTGACTTTGACTAGAAGGGTTTATAGTTTGATCTTATATGTACATTTGTCTTTTAGTGAATTTTGTAAGAGAGCTTCATTGTAATAATACGGCATATCAAGAGATATATAGAAGTGTTGACCAGATTGACTTTTTATCTCACTTCTCTTTCAAGTGTTTTTGATGTTTATCATGAAGATTGTCATGATTTTATGAAGATTGATCATATTAATATTTTATTAATTAATAAATTTAATTTATATTTAAAATATGTATTTTTAATATTTTATTAATTAATAATAATATAAAATTAATTTATTTATATAATTATAATACAAATTAAA